AGTCGTGCACCAGTGGGGTCCCTCAGCCTGGACTGCACCCTCTCGCAATCTGGGACCCCTTGGGGGATGTTGGAGAGCCAAATCCTTGTACCGGGCCTCTAGTTTTAAAGATTAAAAAATCAAATCACAGAAGCAGAAGATAACAGATTACTAGCAAATGAAACATAGCATTTACATCACTTATTTCTATGTGCTGGTCAGCTTCTGCGGATTTAGGCACTTAGGAGGCAGGTCGAGTGACCCATCATACCTGGTCTTGTCCTGGAACTTGCCTCCTGCCCCGATGGCTTTGGCCTGGGTCTCTGTGATCACTTCCAGGGACAAAACATCATCTTTTCTCAACAAAAAGCCCACATTTCTCAGCATTAATAGGATCAGTTCCATATCTTTCTCTCTCTGTGAAATTCCCAGTTTTTCCAAAATGTCGAAAATGAGGAGAGACTGCCACGTGGAAGTCATACAAATGGGCAATGATGGTGAACAGGTTGTCACACTCTTTGCTCTCGCTTCCCTTTTCATAGACGTCATCAAACTTCCTCACCACGGCCTCCAGAAAGGGAGCTCTGACCTGCACAAATGAAACAGACCAAACGTCATCGCAACACCTGACAATCGTGGCAGCAAGTTACTCTCAGGGATCCTTCTTTTCAACAAGCTGAAGTTTATGCTGAAAGAGTCAGTACTTTTAAAATCAACGCGTCAATATACACATGGTAGGGTACACACGCCCACAGGGCATACGCTTTAAAAACCAGTCTGAGTGTGCAGTATGATACAGGGCCACGCGGACTGATGGATACAGCACAGAGCGATCTGCCACAGCACTGGAGCCTCCCTGTGAGCACACCCTCTCGTCTTCCAGGTCAAGGTGGACTGCCTCAGCCAGCAGCCTTCTGGTTCCTTGGAAAAAGACCACCGCACATCTCTGTCTGCAACGCTGCACATCTAACAGCACTCATTCTGGAGAAGGAGGCAGGAGCAGGACGAGGTGGGGGCATGGAGCCGTGTGGAAGGTCCAGTTGGGAAGTGAGACCTGCCAAACGCAGTCCTGTGGGACCTGGGAAGGACGACCCCGAGACAGAACTAGCAGGTGTGACCAGCCACTCGGCCACTAGACATAAAAGATTAAACTCTGAGGAACAGGAGCTGGAAGAGGAAACCTGGTGGGGAAAAGCAGGTTATGGGGGGCAGCTTCAACTGTGGGTGCAGGTGAGCTCAACCACACAGGTTAGAGTGTGATATACACACGTCATTGCTGAAGGGCAAACACTAAATGCTAGAAGCCTCCAGAGAAAGGCACAGATGGGCAGGAGGGAACGACTTCACAGAGGCCAGCGCCCATAGACAAGGGATATTCTGTGGGTAACAAATAATAAATGTAACCTGTAAACTCCCTCCTGGAGCCCCTTCACGAAAATCAACCTGAAGAGCATCCTATGACCACACATTATGCTCAAATATAACTTAAAAAAGAGACATTAGCTCAGCCGGCATGACTCAGTGGTTGAAAGTCGACCTTCGAACCAGGGACTCGAGGTTTGATTCCTGGTCAGGGCACGTGCCCAGGTTGCAGGCTCAATTCCCAATGTGGGGCCTGGAGGAGGCAGCCGATCAATGATTCTCTCACTATTGATGCTTCTATCTCTCTCCCTTCCTCTCTGAAATCAATAGATATTTTTAAAAAGAGAAATTAGAATTCTGCAGACATAAAAATAATTTAGGTATAAAATACTCAGGTTGAATGTTTTCAACACACGATGGGAATTACTTAACTACATCAAATACCTGAAATTTTGAATGTATTTGATGTCTTCAATATAAACTATCATCAGTGGAGCATTTAAAACGAGCAATACCGTTCATGTTGCTGAAGTTGTTAAGCTCGCACATTGGTTCCGATGGGACTTGCACGCAGATCTGCAGAGACCTGGTGTCTGATGGATAAATGAGTCGAGAGCAGCTCAGGGGCGCACCCCAGGGGCGTGACCCACTCTGGGCCCCACGTGGACGCCGCTGTCACCGCAGACCTGGAGCCTCATGGACGCGCGTGCGGAGAGCTCCTCGCTCTGTGCCCGAGGCACCGTGATGAGGCTCCGCAGCGCGTCCTTCCCGGTGTCCTTCCCGCCACGGGGAAGGCTGACGGGGGAAGCGGCACACGCCCACAGGGCATACGCTTTAAAAACCAGTCTGAGTGTGCAGTATGATACAGGGCCATGCGGACTGGTGGATACAGCACAGAGCAATCCGCCACAGCACTGGAGCCTCCCCTGTGAGCACACCCTCTCGTCTTCTAGGTCAAGGTGGACTGCCTCAGCCAGCAGCCTTCTGGTTCCTTGGAAAAAGACCACCGCACATCTCTGTCTGCAACGCTGCACATCTAACAGCACTCATTCTGGAGAAGGAGGCAGGAGCAGGACGAGGTGGGGGCATGGAGCCGTGTGGAAGGTGCAGTTGGGAAGTGAGACCTGCCAAACGCAGTCCTGTGGGACCTGGGAAGGACGCCCCCGAGACAGAACTAGCAGGTGTGACCAGCCACTCGGCCACTAGACATAAAAGATTAAACTCTGAGGAACAGGAGCTGGAAGGGGAAACCTGGTGGGGAAGAGCAGGTTATGGGGGGCTGCTTCAACTGTGGGTGCAGGTGAGCTCAACCACACAGGTTAGAGTGTGATATACACGCGTCATTGCTGAAGGGCAAACACCAAATGCTGGAAGCCTCCAGAGAAAGGCGCAGATGGGCAGGAGGGAACGACTTCACAGAGGCCAGCGCCCATAGACAAGGGATATTCTGTGGGTAACAAATAATAAATGTAACCTGTAAACTCCCTCCTGGAG